TGGCTAGCGCCTTAGCCTGTTGAGCTATAGGCGCCGAGCCAGTATTATTTTTTATTTAACTGAATATTTATGTTAAAAATCTTTGTAAGTGATGGAAATCTAGTTTGTTTAAGCAAAAAGTGAATATATTCAGGAGCGTTTCTTGTTTCAAGTATGCCTAGATTCATGAGCAATAACAATTTCATCAGGATGTGGCTTCACTTTCTGTTTTCTTCCTAAGTGTGGTCTCATTTTTAGGTAGGCTCTCTTTATGTGGTTCCTGAAAGCCTTAGACTTTTATTTTCTTAGCTCTTAAATTCCATGAGAAAGAGAGAAAGAGAGAGAGAGAGTGGAAGAGAGAAGAGAGAAGAGAGAGAGAGAATATAAATATAAATGAATTATTTTTTCTGTTGTCCCAGAAAAAGTCTTAGAATTAGCTCTGATTGGAGCTATATCTCCATGTTAAACCAATCACCATGGCTCAAGAATTAGATGCAGTATTTGGCTTAACCAAGATCATACTTGTATATTGAAACCTGGAGTCAAGGTGGAGGGGGAAGAATGGAAGATTGGAGCCAGCTTTCCACAGAAGCTCCCATCAAGAGGGAAGGATAATGACCAGAAAGTACCTAATATAGCTGAAGATCAGGAGCTGAGCTGAGAGGGAAGAGTGACAACTGTATGTCACCTCAACTGAGGCAAGCTGTGACTCCGGGGAAGCAAATTACAGCTGAGACTTCAACCCACAGTCACTGATTCACTAGGATTGTTGAGAGATCAGCTGAAAACAAGACAGAGCCACCTAGCCCCACCACACCAAGCAGATCCCCAGAGTCTCAAGCTGTAGTACCGTATGGGTCCTTTGCAAAGCTGTAGGGGAAAAGCTTCAGTCACCAGTCCCAGATCTTTGGCAAAAGGCTGGTTAATCAAAACCCCAGGAGCCCCCAATCCAATTTCACCTTACCTGCTCATCTAGCCAAATGGTGATAAACAATCATGGGGTGGATTCAGTGGAAAAACTCTGGCGACATAAATAATCAGAGCAGGTCACCTGCCCCAAGGAACGACAAATCACACACACCAGAAGATCCCATTCATAAACAGATGGCTGAGATGTCAGAAACTGAGTTTAGAGTTTGGATGGCAAATAAGATTAACAGAATGGAGGTAAATTGGAATTAGAAATTCTAGGAATAATTCAAAAGTTGTCTCAAGAATTCAGTGAATTCAAAGACAAAAATCACCAAAGATTTTGACACATTGAGAAAAAAGTTGCAGCCTTCAAAGATATGAGAAATACAATAGAATCCCTCAGTAACAGAATGGAGCAGGCAAAGAAAGGATTTCTGACATTGAAGACAAAGCCTTTGAACTTTCCCAAATGTTCAAAGAGGAAGAGAAGTGGAGAACAAAAATAGATCATTCTCTCAGAGAGCTGTGGTATAATTCCAAAAAAGTAAACATTTGCCTTATAGGAATCCCTGAAGGCAATGAGGTTGCTTTGAAAGGCCCAGATGCTCTATTCCAAGAGATAATCGAGGAGAACTTCCCAAACATGGCAAGAGATTCTGAAATTCCGATAGCAGACAGTTTCAGAACCTCAGCATGACTCAATCCAAATAAAGCTTCTCCAAGACACCTTATAATTAACTTTACCAAAGTTAATATGAAGGAGAAAATACTGTAAGCAGCCAGATATAAGAATACCATAACCTATAAAGGGAAGAATATTAGAATTATGACAGATCTCTCTGCTGAAACTTTTCAAGCCAGAAAAGGTTGGTCTTCTATCTTCAACCTCCTAAAACAAAACAATTTTCAACCCAGGATCCTGTATCCAGCAAAAATGAGTTTCATTTATGGTAGAGAAATTAAATACTTTAATGATACTCACATTTTGAAGAAATTTGCCATAACTAAACCAGCCCTCTAGGATATTCCCAGACCCATCCCCCACAATGACCAACACAAGACTCTACCACCAAAGTAAACTCACTCAGAAACTTTTGATCAAATCCCAGCTTCCACAGTGGTGAAAGGATTAAAAATGTCCACTGGACCTTTGAAAAACTTGATACCCCCAATACTACCAGGCTTATCAATGTTCTCAATTAATGTGAATGGCTTAAATTGTCCTCTAAAGAGGTACAGCTTGGCTGACGGGATACAAAAACTCAGGCCAGATATCTGCTGCATACAAGAATCTCATCTCATCTTAAAAGATAAATATAGACTCAGGGTGAAGGGATGGTCATCTATAATTCAGGCAAATGGAAAGCAGAAAAAAGCAGGTGTTGAAATTTTAGTGTCAGATACAATAGGCTTTAAACCAATAAAAGTAAGGAAAGATAAGAATGGTCACTTTATATTTGTTAAGGGAAACACTCAACATGATGAGATTTTAATTATTTACCTTTATGCACCCAATCAGAATGTGCCTTATTTATAAGAGAGACTCTAACAGGCATGCACAACTTGATTTCCTCCAGCACCATAATAGTTGGAGATTTTAACACCCCTTTGGCAGTGTTGGATAGATCCTCCAATAAGAAACTAAGTATATAAATTTTAGACTTAAACTTAACCATTCAACAATTGGATTTAACAGACATCTATAGAACATTTCATCCTAACAAAACTGAATATACATTCTGCTCATCAGCCCATGGACCATCCTCCAAAATTGATCACATCTTAGGTCACAAGTCCAACCTCAGCAAGTTTAAAAAAGTAGAAATTATTCCTTGTATCTTCTCGGACCATCATGGAATAACAGTTGAACTCAATAGCAACAGGAATCTGCAAACTCGCACAAAGACATGGAAACTAAATAATCTTATGCTGAATGATAGCTGGGTCATAGATGAGATTAAGAAAGAAATTCCCAAATTTTTGGAAGAAAGTGATAATGATGACATGAACTACCAGAACCTGTGGGATACTGCAAAGGCAGTCCTAAGAGGGAAATTCACAGTGTTGCAAGCTTTCCTCAAGAGAATGGAAAGAGAGGAAGTCAACAACTTAATGGGACATCTCAAGCAACTGGAAAAGGAAGAACATTCCAACCCCAAACCCAGCAGAAGAAAAGAAATAACCAAAATCAGAGCAGAATTAAATGAAATTGAAAATAAAAGAATTATACAACAGATCAATGAATCAAAAAGTTGGTTTTATGAAAAGGTCAACAAAATAGATAAACCTTTGGCTAACCTAACAAGAAATAAAAGGTTAAAATCTCTCATTTCATCAATCAGAAATGACAGAGATGAGATAACCACAGATGCCTCAGAAATTCAAAAAATACTTAATGAATAGTTAATGAAAAAACTCTATTCTCAGAAATATAAAAATCTGAAAGAAATAGACCAATACTTGAAAGCATGCCACCTTCCTAGACTTAACCAGGAAGAAGTGGAAATGTTGAACAGGCCTATGTCAAATTCTGCAATAGCATCAGCTATATGAAATCTCCCCCAAAAGAAAAGTCTAGTACCAGATGGTCCCAGGCTTCACATCAGAATTCTACCAAACCTTTAAAGAGGAACTAGTACCTATATTACTTAA